GAAGAAGGGAGGGAGAGAGAGGGAGGGAGACAGAGAGGGAGGGAGAGAAAGAGAGCAAGCTCATGTACTATTGAGGACAGCCAAATAATCAGGGATATGCAGTACTTTGTACAACTGCAAATTGATGATGGATCAAGTTTCTACAAGATATCAAATTCACACACAGCAATAGACTCACTCATTCTCACTCATGCACTAACATGCAGAAATGTATTCAGACAAATGTACATGTATGTAACACATATGCAAAGTGTACGCTGAGGCCACATTCTACTCCGGATAGTCTATAGCCATGCACACAGGTACCTCAAGACAGGAATACCAGCGAAGCCCATGGCCACCTCCTCTGACTGCCCATCCCCATCCACAGGCAAGCAAGAGGCTCTAGACACATTTCTGACAATCCGGAATTTCTCAGTTTCTTCCACTTGTTTGGATTTTTTGCCTTATGATTAAGCTGAAGCAACAGGATGATTCATTCCCGATGAGGAGGGCAGACTTAAATTGAACAAATTTCATGTTCTTTTTAGCTTCACCTCCACCCATTTAGAAAGAAGAATAACTAAAATTACCCTAGATGTGAAACATATTTCTGGTATTTTCCAAATTTTATTCTCCCTGGGCTTAGAAGTCTGCAGCAACTGATCCCAAGATCAGAGATGACTTTGGATTAATCATCAGGACTTTGTTTGGCTTTAACCTCTAGTTGCAGCAAGAATGCAGGCTCACCTGGGACTGCACACTGCATAAAAAGTAGATGAAAATTAGGGCTGGTGAAGTTCTTGATTTATTTCTAGTCAAAGAAAATTTTGATTCAAAATTCTTTTCTAAGGAAATAGAAGTAGTCTTGTTCCCCAAGAGAGCAAACTGTAGTGTCAGTTTGAGCAGTGACTCAGTACTACCTATAATCCTTTGCACCCATTGTATTCATTGATAGAACAGTCCCCCGCAGATGAGCTTCCTAGTTTGACAGAAAGCATCCAGAAGTCATGGGCATGTCTATTCTGTGCATCCTAGCATCATTTATGACTATTGCTGAATACAAAGAGTGAGTGACATAGAACAGCGATGACGAACATTTTAAAGACAAGTACCCTGAACTGCAACCTGAAACCCATTTATAGTTCACAAAGTGCCAACGCTGCAATTAAACCTAAATATTGCCCAGCCAGGGGAAGGCTCGGATGAGTTGTGACAAAGGAGTCCTAGCTTGTGACATTGCTACCTGACACTGCTACTTCTTTCTGAGCATGTACCTGGCCCCTGTGTGCACTGTTTGGTGATGCTCAGCTGCCATAGGTTCACAACCACTGAGAACCAATTAAATTTAATTATGTCCTGCCAGTTAAGTTCTTCAAAGACAGAAAACATTTCAGGTACTTCTCTGTTGCCCCAGCAACAGAGCTCTATAATCTAGACCTTGGCAGAGGTTCTCCATCTGTGTTTCTTGAAGTAACACACATGTATCTTTTCAAATAGAGTGAAAATAGCCTCCTTAGGAGACCCTATCGAGGAGCAAAGATTGTCTGTAATTCCAAAGTTTGGGCCAATAGTCTTGGCATTTTCTCCAGCCACGGTAATAAGGGCACTAAGGAGAGATGAAAGTTCAACAGTGGTAGATACTTCTAAGGGGAAAGTCAGAAAAGAAAAGAAAAGAAAAGAAAAGAAAAGAAAAGAAAAGAAAAGAAAAGAAAAGAAAAGAACATTAATTCAGAGTACAAGAGATGAGTTTGGAAACCAGCTGTAATGGCAAGTGTTAGAGGCATCATAAATGAAAGGGCTTAATTAATCACTTGCAACAAACAGTGCAATAGTAGCTACTAATCAGAGGGTGCGTGGCTGCTTAGTAGTAATGATAGTGTGTGTCTAGATGATCCTGGGAGAGATACAAGTGATACTATCCTAAATGGAGCCAACTGAGGTCATTGTGATCACCTATAATTATGTATTACACGGAGCATCTAGACCATTTTCTCAATTAGATATATGGAAAAATATTGCTGGGTTGGCAATAAGGGAGCAGCTGCAAAGCCTGTGGTGAGATTCCCTTCTATTGTCACTTCTCTCTCAAATTGAGGCTGCCCATCCTTTACCATTAGAAAATAACTGTTGACAAGTGGAGATTTTTCTGTGCTCACTCAAGATCCTGGAAATGAGAATGCAAAGAGCATAGGACTGTCCAAAGAATAGCGTGGCAGGCATATGCTCAGTAATTGCTACACAAGATAAAAATATAACAGCTGAGAAAATCTTTGAATTGTTTTCTGATCCTAACAACCTTCTTTCTTAGTTTCCATTCTTGATGTAAAGAGACTAAGACCCAAATCCCTTAAGCATGCCACAGGTAGGAACGAAGGTCCTGGATTATCTTTTCGACCAATATCTATCTAAGTATATCAATACTTATAAAACTAGTGAGGCAATAAAGAGGACAGGAGAACTGATGTTAGGAAAGTCATAGAGAAAACAAGTAGGACACTAGAAATGCTAATTCTAGGTATTGCTAATCTCACCTCCCCAGGGTGACTTTAACTTCTCAGATTCTGCTAAGATAACAAGTGCCAGCTCTAACTTGTAAAGACAGTCTTCCTAGAATTCAGTGGACAGCCAAGTAATGTTGCAAATAGACAATACAATTTAGCAACTAACTACCTAGCTTAATGAGAAAAATAAAAATGAATCTGGGGAAATGAAAAACCTTAAAAGACATTATAGTCATAATTCTTTGTAACAGATTCAGGTAACGTACATTCTCGTGTGACAACTGCTTATGAAAATCATGCAATTATCAAACTATACAAATGCCATACAGAAAAATAGTATTGATGAAAAAGAAAGTGGCATAAGGATCTCTTTCTGGGTGGAAGGGGACTTGAAATTATTGTACCTTTTTCCTCCCAAGCACTGGGAAAGAGGCTATATCTATTTGACATCCTGCCTTCCAGGCAGATAGAGGCACTGAATGGGTTGGTCTACTTGAAAATGTCTTATGCTGCCACTTTCATCTTATGTTACAGGATGCTGTCTGTCCTGATGCAGCAAACAAGTTCACACACGTTTTTTCCCCCTAGGTGCCCATCACCAGGAATCTCTTTGGATATTTAATGTAACTTAGGACACAGAAAAACATTAATAAGAATATTTTGAGTTAAATACACCTGAAACATAAGTGTGAATTTCTCTCCAAAGTAGAGAATGATGGAGACAAGGCAGATCTGAAGGAGGAGGGGATAACAAGAATGGGGAGCTGCCGAATGGGAAAACAATGTCTTCAGTGTAGTGCACAAATATCTTGGCCTCTATACTAGGCTAAAAATGAATAAACCTTCAGGCTTTTTCTGAGACTTGATTG